AGTCACCCCTAAGCAATCAGGTAACTATTTCTACCTATTCCTCAAGAATACTAGGAAATAGACTACATATTTATCATTATTCAAGTGCCTACAAAACTAATACTTAATTTTTAGTAGGTTTAATGAAAAACAATTACAAGGTGACCAGTTGTCCTAGCCTACATCATTCCATTGTAATAAGACAGGTAACTCCCTGCATAAATTCAGCACCAGACAAAATCTGTATTTATTCATTAAATCAAAGCTGTAGGCTCAAATACCTGTTAATTCAGCACTCAGTTAAATAGAATGTGCAAGTTAATGCCTTATCCCAAAGAGAAAAAATACTCATGGCGTTGCCTTATTCACAAATGACAGATCGACTCACACATGACACTGTCTGACGTTTGGGGATTTGGAACTGCACAGGTATTCCTTAATGTACTACACATCGTGAGGTTAATAAGGAGGCTGCCTGTTGGAGACAACTGTGTGACTGTTGTCCTGTCTTTGCCCCTCAGAATTCGGCAACAGGGCTCTGTGCTGACAGTGAAAAGTGGTGCCCTTTTTCATGGTAAAAGCTTTTTAAAAACATGCCGATGTGCAATCAAATGTATTTTGAAATAATTAACTCAGCTTGTGCCATGCTAATAAGTGGCTTCCTTAATGACTTTGTTCTTATTTCACAGAGGGGTGGTTGAAAGGTAGGCAAGGTTATTATTAATTCTTTTTCTTTAAGCTCTGCACTCCAGCCAATTCTGGGAAATCTTGGGTATGTTCAGCTTTCAGACCTGGATCCCTTCAGACATGTAACTAGAGTTTGGATGAATTTTTACTTAGCATTTTCTATTCATTAATTTTTCAAAATATATTTATGGAGCTCTTATGATAGGCCAGCCAGGCACAGTGCTCAGTGTTGGGGGTACAACAGTGAGAAATATATCTATGCCTCTTGCCTTCTGGAACTCACAGTGTAGTGGCAAAGACCCAATGAAGAAACAACTAAAATTATTTGCAGAAAGGCAAATGCACGTGCAAACTACTGAGATGAGGAAAAGCCTGATGTGTTTGAGGGGGTACATAGAGTTCTGGGGGAACAGAACACACCAGGCAGATGGAAATGACAAGATTTGGAGTTAGAAAAATAGACAGCAGCCAGGTCTTACAAGGTGATATAGTCCAAGCTAAGGGGACTCGGTTTTGTTTTAAGGGCAAAGAGAATCCACTTAGTACATTTAAGCAGGAGAGTCATGAGCTACAGTGGAAGCTTCTGTGCAATGATAACTCCAAGTATGCATAAGAATTAAATCGGCTTTTGTAGGGTTCATGGAGAGGGCATAATGGGATCTTCAATCACACCAGAGTGGTCATTCAAATTATCAATGATTTGCATGCATTACAAAGACCTTACACACAAGTTGAGTGTACAGCTTGTTAAGTTGGACATACTCAGAGGTGTCCTTTTAAATACATAATGTCCCCAGTGCATCACATATCAAGGAGGACCCTGTGCAAGTAAGAGCTGTTCAAAGTTCCTGAATGTTCCTGATTTGCTTCCGACCCAAGAGAGGGAGATCAGAGTGCTGTGCTAAACATATGCTTCTGGTGTTTCACTGTCAAAAGCTGAGCTAAATAAATTATAGAATGTGTTACAGAAATTGTGCTGGCAGGTCCCGTGCTATGAGTATGAAACTGTGAGAAATACAGCATGCTAATGTGATAAGTGTAGGAGTTCATCACTCTGCAGTCCAAAAGCAAAACACTGAATAAACAAAAATGAAAAGCAGATCTGAAAACAAGTTTGTTCCAAGGGCAAATTTTCAAGCAGAAATGTAAGTAAACACACTACTTGGTGTGAAATGCAAACATAATAAAGAATGTGTCAAAACCCATTGGTGATTCAGAGGAATAAGTAATAACATCTCAACAGCAAAAACTTTATGAAGAGGTGACATTTAAATTTGGCATTCAATAAAATGAGGGGAACAAAATGTTAGACCAAGGGACAGATGTTTATAGGACAATGGCCACTTTTGATACTTTGGGTAAAGAGTAAGAAGGAGAATGAGGGTCGGGCTCAATCAGATCAGTTCTTACTAAAAACATCTTGATCATATCAGGTTTTGCCATGGTGGCATTTCTCAAAACTCCAATGCTGAATATTAATCAGTTTCAATTGGCCATCTTCACACACATTTCTTATTGTCCCTTTACCAATATGACAAGTCATGGTGACTAAGGGGAAAAAAATTAGCTTGGTGACATGTTGGGACTCGTATTGGACAAGCTCCACCTTGATGAATCAGCCTTGGGATGAACATGAAAGCTATTTTGAAGATTCAAAATGGACTGGCTTCTTTATGAATAAGATGTCATTGTCATATATAACAAAGTGCTAATGAGATGTTAGCCTTCAAATTAGCTCAAGCAATGAGGTAGAAAAGAGTCTTGAGAAGAAGCCAACACCCAGCTTTCTGAGTATATAATCTCCTCGGTAACGAATTTAATCTTCAGACCCAGCGTGTTGGGTCCTTGTGATCAACTTCAATCAAGGGTTTTAACAATATGACCCAGAGCCACAGCCACCCACTCAAGAGCTTCTACAGTGTCCCACCACTCTCTGCCATCATACATGAATCGAAAGCTATAAACTTTGCAGATGGATTTTTTTTACCCAGCAGCTGCCACAGTAGGACCTGGCTCCTGGACAACTTTCAAGAAACCTGTTGTGAAACCACCAGCTGCAAAGTACCCAGCTGTGAACAGGGACTGTCCACAGGGGATAGCTGTGTGCAAACTGCCTGCCTCCCCCGAGTTGTCCAAACGAATTGTTCTAATTCCAGTCCCTGTGAAAGGACACCATGTCAATCGGGAAGCTCCTCAGCAGTGTCAGAGTGTGTTTCTCAGCCTTGCCAGTCAAGAAGTAGCCAGCAAATGGGTTTTGTAGTCCAGAGCTGCCAACCTGTAAGTAACATGGCAAAGTGTTGTCCAGCCAAGACTTATGTCTCTAAGACTTGCCAAACTGTGGCATGTGAATCTAGCCAGTGCCAATCTCAGAGCCCCGAATCCAGTTCCTGTAGCTCTCTGGTCTGCGTAGCACAGAGGCCACAACTCCTGGAATCTTCTTCTAACACTTATGAGCCAACTTGCTGTGTTACTGGTGGTTTGCAGTTGCCTAGTGAATGAAGAATGTGAAAAATGTGTAGCGAGAATCATATTCTAATTTGCATAAACTGATATTTGAAATATCTAGGAACTTTTGTTTCTCTAAATACAAATTATTTTGCAGGTGTTTGTGAGTGAATGAACATGTCTTCACTGTTTCCAAAGAGAAGAATTTTTCTTTTTCCTTTTTGCTTTTTGGGGGCATTTCTGGTGGTAAGCTGAAATAGGAAAGTATGTTAACTATTTTAGGTCACTAGGACACTACTTATTAAAGAGCAATGAAAGTTGCAACCAGGGACTAGCATGGCTATTTTAAATGTCCACATCACACTTTGGCTACCACTAATTATCAATGGAAGCACTTAGCATTGAATCTGGCTTATTGTAAAATGACATGTTATTTACAATAGATAAAGGTAACGAGCTACTAATATCAGAAATCCGTACAGTGTTGAAGTTTAAAGACGTTTTGAAGCCCATCTGTGTGAATCTGATAGGTTCAACTCTATCAAAGGTTGCTCACCCAGCTAACATCAGAATCGCAGCTCAAATCTGTGTCTACTCTCTCTCCATCACTATTTTATTTGCTGTATCACAGCACTTTTTGTTAACATGAGATTGACTCTACTGCTTGAAAAGTGTAAGAGAATTTTGAATTTCACCTCCACGAGCTCCATAACCAGAGCAGCCAGAGATGTTTGAAAATGAGAAGTTCAGGTTCAGCATATTCACTACCTTTCTGCTATTCTTCTTCCTCTTTTCACTATTTAAGTGTTTTTTTTTAATTTAGGAAAATGTTCTTTGTATTAAATAAATTTATTTACATTACTAATCATTGTCATACTATTATTTTTGTTCAACACTTTTGTGGATTTAATGTTACAGGTTTCCCCCACCTCCCCACCCCACTGGATAAAAAATATAACTATTTGGAAGAAAAAAAGAGAACATGTTCCTTTTGCATTATTTGTATAGTATGGACCAGAATAAAAGAACACACGGGTGGTACTCGGCAGAAGATGGGAACACACTCAGTATGATTATCATGAAACCATGGAGTCTCAATGTTGTGAAGATGCATTGATTGTGCTTAGAACAGCTCAGCTGTTGGGCAGCTGTGGGTGTGCTCTTAACTGGATCTTTTATTCAGGGTGACATTAGGTACTACCTAAGAGCATGGGCTCTGAAGTCAGATTCCTTCAGGTCTGACCTTAGCTGCGCTGGTGAAGGCTGTTTGAATTCCAGTTGTGTGACCACGTGCAGGTTTCTTTTAACCACTCTCCACTTCGATTTCCTCAACTTCAAAGTTGAGATGATGATAATGACAGGGCCACTGTGAGACTTAATAAATTAATAACTTGAAAGTGCTCAGCACGTGACCTTGTGTCTAGGAAATGCTCAGTGAGATTTAGCAACAAGATTAGCTAGCTCAGAGACTCAAAGTGAAGGGTGGAGGCAGAGATTTGTAGATAAATCCAGAAATCTGTGACATATTAGAAAAGCAATTCATCCAAAAAATGAGAGATTAGCTGTTTTGTATCTGGAAAGATGCAAGTAGCACTTCATACTAAGGGAAATGCGTAAAAAGTACAGGCCATGCTTTGTGGAAGTGGGCTGGCAAGTATTCCGAGTGGATGACAGAGCTAATGTTGGTTTATTAGCTTGTCATCTCTGTGGGTAGGTTAGACAGAGGTCATCCCAAAAGGGAAGAGTGAAGCCTAAAATCTATAAACCACTACTTGCATGGGTCCTTCTGTAGAGGGGTGGGATTGAGAGGTAGCTGAGGCGGGTCTGAAAGAAGCTGAATGAGCACTCTTTGATCCCATCCACAGCAACAGAGCATATGGTAGTCATAACATCAGAGTATCCGTGCAGAAAGAAACGTTGACACAGAGCTCCTGGCCACAGCAGTGACGGCAGCAATGTGGCACTGGCAGTGGTAAGGGGACTGCATCTGCATGACAGCTTCCGAGCGCTCCAGTCACAGCCAGTCAATCATGTGGACAAATGAAACTCACTCACAGTGCAGACTGTTACGAGTGTGACTCAAGGAGGGAGTGTCTGGGGAGAGTTCAACTCATCTGGGCCACTCATCCTTCCCAGGCTGGACGTGACCACTCCTCTAAGATGAAGGTAGCTGAAGAAGAAACCAGTATCTAGTCTAACCCAAAATGGAGCATGCTGGAGCTCTTTATAGAGAAAAATTGTGTGGACTCGGTTGCTAAAGACTCTTGGTAAAGGGCTAGCAAATGGCTTAGTGATGGGATTAGATGCTTGGTAGACAATCTACTGAATTTACATTTTAGGACAGAGATCAAGAAAAATCATTGATGATAAGTGCAAAGGACGTACGTATTATGGAACATGACCCAGACAGTCTATGTGGTACTCTCAAAACTGCAGAAATGATTCAGTGGTACCTGCTACAGAACATTCTCTATAGATCTAGGAATTTCTTCTTGCCTGAATGGAAAGGCTTTGGTAGGATTTGGTATTGACGTTGCTTACCCCACGCTCTTCAAAACGTGGAGAGCTTAATGGCATTCTTTTGTCCTAGAAGCCAAGGATAGTGAATTTACAGAACATTTCCTTGCTTATGCAATACTGTGATAAGAACTGTAAAATACCTCTTATTAATTTGATTTTTTAATTGAAGTACAGTCAATTACAATGTATCAATCTCTGGTGTACAGCACAATGTTCCAGTCATGCATATACAAACATATATTCATTTTC